TCAGAATCACTTTTTTCTCAAACACTATCAACTTTTACTATTAATCACTTTTCCCAAAATCACTTTAAAAAATCACTTTTTAAAAGTTGAAACAATTGCAAACACTCCCTAAATATTGCCTAACAATGTCCCACAAGATATGATGGTTACGTTGTTCGTCTAGTCGCTCGTTTGCTTGATGAACTCTCGAACCATATTTAAAACTATGTTCATTTCATTATTACATTCTTTGTTTATGTAGAGCATGTTTGGTAGGCATAAGTCACTAACTTCTAACTTCCGTACTATTTAAAAAGTCTTTAAAAGCTTCTAGTTGTATGTTTGGCAAGTCAAGTTTTAAGAGCTTTTAAAAAATAAAAGATCTTTTTTGAGATGCTACAGTGAGTAGCATCTGAAAAAAGTCTGTAGCTTTCAGTATTAATTTGTCTTAACAGCTTGTATACCAAACAGAACTAAATCAAACAGTCAGCTTTTTATTAAACAGTTACGACCTTTTGCTTTTAAGATCTTTTCAGTCACAAAGAGCCAACAGTTACTAAAAAGCTCATAAAAGTATCTTTTCAGCTAGTTGTGTCAAACATACCCGTAATTTGAACTACCCGATTCTAATTTCTAATATTCTAATAGGTTCGTTCATGTGCACATGAAAGGCTAGCTATACTCACTACTACCTCCGTCCCGAAATGTTCTTTCAAAATAAAGTGACACATTGATTAAGAAAGTGATAATTGTATGGTGGAGAGTTGTGGAGAGGTGAGAGAAATGTTGTGAATCACAAATTCTTTGTCAAAAAGGGAAAATGAAGTTCTTTTTGGGACGGACGAAAAGGGAAAGTTGGAAGTTCTCTTAGCCTCTTAGGGACGGAGGGAGTATATTGTAGGTATAGTAGATACTCCCTAAAAACGTCCTACAAAGTGACAACATATTAGGATGTTTTTACTTGGACTGTAATTTGCTGGTCTGGTCTGATCTGATCTGGTCTGGTCTGGTCTGAACTGGTCTGGTCTGGTCTGATAAGGTCTGGTTTCTTTGTATTTTGATAACTATCCAAGTCTGGTCTGGTCTGGTCTGGTCTGAACTAGTCTGGTCTGGTCTGGACTGGTCTGGTCTGGTCTGGGGCAAATTATAGTCCAAGTAAAAACATCCTTAGAACACAGACCAATCTTCAAGTTCGAACGCTCGTGACTCGTCGATCTGTTCTTGTTACTAATGCTTACTTTCTAGGACCCAGTAGTTCATTGGATTTAATCAGCTATGACGTACGATATGTTAAAACTTAGAGTTGCATCCGAAGTGTTAATCTCGTACTTCCTTTGTTCTTTTTTAATTGTAACGGTCAACATTTCACACTTGTCAATGCATATCTTTGGCCGTAATTATATCTTAATCTTTATTAGTAAAAGAAATTTAAAAATCGGATTTTGAAAATTTGTAATGAGATAAATTGAACAATATTTTTTTGCAAAAATAATTCTCATAAAATAATACCGTAACATGTAATCAAAGTAGAACATGTGAATAGTGTAAAATTCAACATGTTGCGATTAAAAAAACGGAGGATAGTAGAAGATTGTAATCCCATGTCTTTAAAAACGTCGATAGCGCGCAACTTTATATTTCACCGTAGTGATCGATCGAGAATATACGGATAATGTTCATCAAATAGATCACAACTTCCTCGGCCGTCATGATCAACGAGAGGGTGTTATCAATGTGCGATGATTGATGGAGAGAGCCGCGGCGGGGAGGGGGCAACCGGTGTAAGCCTTATTCAATCGGAGGGCGTGGGGGTGAGGAAGAAGATAATTTAAGTAGAGTTCGAAAGGTATAAGGGAGGGAAAGATTATACTACCAGATAAGATGTGTGACAATGGCTAATATGCCCCACATATATGACTGTTGTGATTAAGGTTTCTTGTCGTGCCAGCGATCGATGGAGATGGTCGTTATAGCTATATACATCAAGAGGGAGGGAGGGTTTAGAAATCATCTAGGCAGGCATATTTGGACCGGCAGCAGCTTATACTATACATTATTGATTATTGTTCCTTAGCGCTCTCCGCAATGATGTTCATGTATCATTGTATCTCATATCTTCCCTGGATAACAATGTTTAAAATAATGTTAGGAGATATTAAAAAATAGGCAGTATAGCCATATGTAGGTTATATTTGTTCATTACGTGACAAAAGAAACCAAGTATCTGATCATTATCGCTCAATCAAAAGCATGTCACACAAGTATGACTTCATCTATGTCCTGTTTGAATGGCGCATTCAACAGTAAAATTTGTTGGATGTAGTGAATTTGTTAAAATATAATTCTTGCTGAAAATGGTTGAATATGTACGTATTACTAGCTCGGTTCCTTAATTAAAGTCTCAATTTGACTTTTGAGTCAATCTTATTAAACTTTGATAATCAAAATAAGTAAAACTAAGAGCCCGTTTGATAGCACCAAAATTGGCTGTTTTGGCTGATTCTGCTGAAATTTATGATATTTTGGCTGAAGTGACTGTTTTGGCTTATTCTGCTGATTTAAGAAAAAAATATTTTAAAAATATATTTTATTAATAAAATAAAGAAAAAATTATATGTAAAAATAGCTAAAATGGTCATCTACAGTAACTTCAGCCAATACAGCCAGAAAAGTAACTCCAACCTTACTTTTTCGGCTTATTACACAATTCAGCGCGCGAAAGTAAAAGTTACGTGTTTGGTGAAAAAGCTGGCTGATAAGCCTGATAAGCCGAAAACAGAGGTCTCCAAACGGGCTCTAAGACTTAATTGTGGGATAGAGAAAGTATAAAAAAGTATTTAGAATATACTTTATTAATAAAATAAATAAAACATTATATGAAAAAAGTAAGAACAATCATCTTTAGTAAAGTTACTCAATTCAACTGAAAATGTAATTCTCAATTTTACATATTTTTATTACTCCGTATTACAAAATTGGTCGTATATATGAAGACTACCGTACAACCCTTTAATCAAAATCACGTCATGTAGCTTGCTTTTATTGAATGATAAAAAGTTATCCAACATTTTATTATTCAACAATTTTTTTAACGAGGAAATAAACAAAACTATGTTTGTAAAACCTTACCCGTTCTAAAGTTCATTTGTCTTGATGTATCCCTATCATGCCAATGGCTAAACGGTATTTTATGATTAGTAATCGCATTCCTTGTTCCAAAAAACAATTGAATCCCCTGTCCAAGAATCCCTTATGCCCAATCTGACTAAACACACAAGGAGTTGTAAATTATAAATTCGGGATCGTATCCTATGACCCTATATGTTGTTTATTTAAATACTACCTTCGTAACATATATATCTTCCCGTTTAAAAGTAGGTGAGATTAAGAATAGTAAAATAAGATATAAATAATTACTCAGAGTATAATGAGAGAGAATGGAATAGTGTGCTGGAATGAAGAATAAATACAAAAAAGTAGTTGTAATAGTGTATTATTTTCAAAATTATTGAGGCCATGTTGTGAGGATTTAGAAATGAAAAGATATGAATGTTACATCAAAAAAGGAAAATGAGAAGATATGAATGTTACAGAGGAAATATAGTAAATGTACTCCATATAAGTAGAAGTAATGAAATTATTATTAGCTGGGACTCCGTTTTCAAAGGCATCCTTTTTACCGTACTCCATTTGATTTTTAGGGTTTCGACCCACAAATTTAATGGGATCATCCAAATAAGTGATAGGCATAATATTTTTCATTTGAGAGGAATAACTATTTAATGCTTATTTGGTGCGGAATACTACGTAATATTAACATTACTGAATCAGCTAAATTCATTTAAATGGATGAAATTCTGTTTGATTAAGTGAATTCGATTGAATACACTGAATTTATGAAAAAAATTATATTTAAAATATACTTTGTATCTTATCAATTAATTTAATAAAATGGTAAGAAACATATGAAAAATAGTTAAAATGATCCGCTTCAATAATTCCAATCAGTTCAGTCAAGAAATATTTACAACCTTGTTTATTTTGACAAGACTAAAAATATGAAAAATATGGATCTCCAAACGGGATATTAGTTTCCAAATATGAGTTGAGAAATATAAATATGGAGTACCTATTAGTATGTGTCTTTGATCTGATTACATAATTAAAAGGTTCACTTAAATTTGTTATGTTGTATTATTTGTTTGCTGTTCGTTCCGTTTTAATCATGTTTTCAATAAGGAGGGTATGAAAATAGTAGTGTAAACATGTCTTTCAATAAGGAGGGATATTATTAAGTATGAATTAAGATTAAATTTATTTATATATGTTCTCCAAACCAATGGTCTGATGTTTATGTTTAAAATCCCAAATGAGATGTGAGAGCAATAATTTGTGGACCAAACATGCAATTTGGCCTAATTATTACTAATTATAGATGGACGTATCTTCAAATAAAGTTATAGTTTTATTTATTAATAAAATTTGTTTGGTATCTCTACGTATTTATGACATGTAGACCGATAATTTTCTTAATTAAGGGCATGTTTAATAATAGATTTCTGTGACATATCAACCAATTTTGCCCTAACTTAAACGTTAAATCTAGCTCGCTGAGTTATTTAATGAGCAAAGTATGTGACGTTATGTTACTTTTTTTTGGTTGATTTACTCAAGTGGCCGGACAATTTTGATTAAGTGACTTGGAATTGACCAAAATTCAGCGAGCGAAAATACAATACATCTATAGATCATTTTTCAAATATTGGTGGATTTAGCCAATTCAATTATTTGAGTTATAACTTCAGCAATTCTTGTCAATTCCATAGTTACCAAATCTAGCTCTAAATTGATTATTTTTCCGTCAAAAATACTTATTCAGGCAGCAATGATTGGTCATATATGATGTTTTTACTTGAATTGAAATTTGGTGGGGTACAAGAAGCAGATCCGAGCCTCAGACCCTTGTTGGTCTACCATAGGCGAGGACGGACTTGAGTCCACCTTTGGGATGGTTGTTCTTATTTTAATTATTCTTTTTTATTATGTTTCCTACTTTATTTTGTTGCTTGGTATAGTTTAAATAGGACTTCTATTCTTGTTAGAATTAGAGTCTTCCTATTCTATTTAGTTTCATAGTATGGTTTAATAAGAATTCCTAATATTATTAGACTCAGATGGTTATTTAAACCTCTAAGAAGGGCTGTTGGGATCATCAATTAATAATATTGGAGTTTTAGCTTTAAAGCTTGGGCAACAGTTGCTACCGTTGATTGCTATTTTTCTGCTCTCATCAATTGGTCCGACCTGCCGGATCCGTCCCGCCGGAATGACGAGATCCCAGAATGATCGCATGACAGAGATGGAGGCCGAGCAAGCCCAGATGGGAACTTAGCAAACCTGGATGAATCAAAACCTGGAGGAGCATGACATGCGTCCGACAGAGATCATCGCTTCCCTGGCGGCGCTTACCAAGGCGCTCGTTCCACTAGTCACAACAGAGACGAGCTCGGACGTAGTTGGCAGCACTGCCATGACTGTGCACAGCAGCGACGAACAACCGCACAACGTCACTCCAACCTTGCCGGGAACATTTGACGGAGATGACCCGATCAGGTGGATATCTCAGGTTTAACAGTGGTTTGAATTGGATGGAACCCTACCGGAGAAAAAGGTGACCGCCGTTGTGGTTGCCATGGAAGGGGGCGCTCTCTATTGGGTAACCTGGCTGAGAGCGCGCAAACTTTTGCTGACCTGGGAAGAATTCAAGGAAGCATTGGTGGCCGGATTTGACTCCCTATTTAAGGGGAACAAGTTTGCAGGGTTGTCTGGCGTTGGAATGGTGGAAGAACACAACACCATATATGTTCAATTGGTCAGCCAAGTTTCTGGACTGTCTGATGATCATTACTTAATGTACTACATGAATAGACTAAAAGATCCAATATGGAGCTCGCTACGCTTATTGAGACAGGATAACTTAGACGCTGCCATGGTGATAAGTTTGTATTTCAACACACATTTGACGTTTGTTGGGATCGGCTTTTGATGGTTTTCCTAGCTTTAAGGTGTTGCAAGTCTCAATTTTAGCTCAAGTTATGTTTGCCAGACGTTGGTTCGAGTTTTGTGTCATTTGGAGTCAAAATCAGGGAATTTGAGCCTGACACCGATGCTTAAGAAGTAATCAGGATGATTCGAGATGCATTCGAGAGTGGATTGAGAGATTTGGAGGTCACCGGGAGGTTTACGATGAAGATTTGATGACAAAAGAGCTCTAGGATTGGCTACGGGATCAAAAGAAGATGAACGAAGCTTGAAAACGACGATCAGGATGACCTTCTGTCAATCATTCAAGCATATCGCTCTGTAGAAACATCCAATGTACACGATTCAAGTTCGATATGCAAGCCAACTTCAAGGGATACAAATCATATACAGACATCATTGCGAGAATCTGAAAGGAAGAAGGTGAAAACATACAATGAAGTCAGATGATCCCTGTTACAATTTCATAATGCCACCTTCCACCATTTTATTCATATACCTTTATCAGAGGATTCAAATCCAATTCGGCAAGTTGTGGTGGATAGAGGACTTCATTATCTACAACTTTTATGAAGAAAGTTTTGTCAAATTCGGAACGGAAAAGGCCAAGCACAGTCGTGACTAGGAGACAGGCACTCCGTGCCTGAAGAAGAACTTGATACCTAGCTACTGGAGGCCAGGAACGATCGTGCCTAGAGGGAGGCACGACCTTGCCTACCCAAAACACGCGACTTTACTCCGGAGGCACGGTCGAAGGCACGGTCATGCCTGGCACCGTGCCTGCCTCCGGAAATCTCAATTCAACTCAAATTTGACCCGATTTTTCTATTTAAACAGCCTGTAAACCCCCGTTTTCAAGGGGGAGCTTAGAGAGAATGCCTAGAACGAATTTTGGAGGGCTTTTCAGCCTTGTTCATCAATATTTTGGGATTCTTTGTAAGTTCCATATTTTTAATCAATGACAATTAATTCTTTTTATTCCAATTCTATTGATTCTTCAATTATGAATTGTGAGTAATTTTAATTAGGGATTTGGGATTGATGAAGGGGTTGATCATGATGTATGGATAGATTCTTGATGGGTTAATTGCATGAATGCCGTTTAATTTGTGTTTGAATAACTTAATTGATATCTTTTGTAACCTGGAACCGCGGGTAGAATTACAATTGCTTGTAGAATAAATTAAGAGAGATCTAGTTTATTCTAGGACACCTTCACACACACTTAATCGTTCGCTAAGAGATTAGTAGCGATTAAGGGGCCTTAAGCTCGTTCGTCTTGGCAATAATTTAGGATCATGTCGCATGACAGATCAGCCTAGTCCCCTAAATTGTTGTACTCTATGCCGCGAGAGCGGTAAGAACTTAGTAATGATTAGCTAGGCTCAATTTCATGTAATTAGGCCTGATTTGCCAGAAATCTGGTTACCCCGGAATCGATCCCTGTTCCCTTCGTCATTAATTAGAGAGAACCCCCTAGTTTAATCGTTTTATTCGCATTAGTTTAATTTTCCAACCAATCAATCTCGCACGACGCTTTTATTTTATTTATTTTTAATCGTTGAATTTAATTAATTCTTGATTCCCTTTTGTTCGTCCTTGTGGAGACAATACTCATACTTACACCACTATATTACGATCTATTATAAGTGCGAGAAAACTCACATCACATGGAATTAGCCCGAGGAGGATAATCTGTCCGTTCAGAACGGAGGAAGAGGAGGGTCGAATTACAATTCCACAGGATCTCATTCCAGCAGCTACTCACGGCTAGGGTTGTATACGAATCAAATAATTTTTGCTCGATTCGGGATTCGTATTCGTATAAGGCGATTCGAATTCGAAAAATTCAAATACAAAAACAAATACGAATACTAAAAATGATTCGAATTGTTATCAAATACAAATACGAATATCAGTATATTCGATTCGAATGTTAATCAAATATATTCGATTAATAATAGTGATAATATTAATAATAATAGTAGTAGTAATAATACACTATAATAACTTTTAAAAGCTAGCTATACCTTCAAAGTGCAGCCTATAAACAGAAGTATCATGAGGCTTATAAACAAAACAAATAATTTTATTTCGATTTGCGATTTCGATTCATAAAGAAAAATGTAATGTTACAAAGTTCACTTTAGTACATTGTGCACAACCTAAAAATGCACCGATCCATTAAATTTTAAACCATAGCATGCATTCATAACATAAAAGATATGGAAAAGTTGTTTTAAAGTGATATTTGACAAATATTTAACTTATGATCAAATCGATTCGATATTCGTATATGATTCGTTAAATATTCGTATGGTTAAACAAATACAAATACAAATCGAAAATAAAATTCGTTTGATATTCGAATTCGGATTCGTATTCGGAAAAATTAAACAAATACAAATAAAAAATCACAATATTCGACTCGATTCGATTCGTTTACAACCCTACTCACGGCCAAACACAAGCCCACTGTCACGCCCAGAACCTACCCGGATACGTCAACAACCTGCCGTACAGTACGAATAGTCAACCGCAGTCCAACACATCCATACTATATGAGGCGCCTGGAATATCATTCACACGTAGTACATCCATAAACAAACATAATGTAAAATATTGAGTAAAGGGTCAATTTGGTCCTCGAAGTTGCAAAAAAGGGGTCAAATAAGTCCTTTTATAGAAGATTCTGTCCGGACGTGCCATTTGAGGTGGCTCCCGGTAGAATTGTTTGATGAATTTTTTTGAGCATCTTATTCATTAAGTCTAGTTTACTCATACCAAATTTCAGCTAAAAATGCAATCGGGGAGACATTCAAATGAATTCTTGAAGATAACTGCGCTTTTAACGGCACTATTATCTTCAAGAATTTATTTGAATGTCTTCCCGATTGAATTTTTATCTGAAATTTGGTATCAGTAAACTAGACTTAACGAATAAGATGCTCAAAAACTTTCATCAAAAAATTCCACCGGGAGCCACCCCAAATTGCACATCCGGACAGAATCTTCTATATAAGGACTTATTTGACCCCTTTTTTGCAACTTCGAGGACCAAACTAACCCTTATCCCGTAAAATATTCATTAAAGCAGCAGAAACAGTAATACAAGTGTTCAAGCCACACTTGGTAAACTTGGCCATACAAGCCCCAAATAATTATTCAGAAATAATATCCATGAGCATTATTCATATTGTTTTTAAAATAAGAACGGAAGAAGCATGAACCAAGTCTTCTTCCTTGATCTCCCTGAAGCAACGAACGGTGGTAGCAACCTTCAAGTTCTACCTGAAACTGTGAGGTGCCCCCCCCCCCCCCCCCCCCGTGAAGGGGGAGATCAATACTTTGAAGCATTTGAAAAGTACAATGACAACTACACTGTATATAGTCAAAGTTTCAATTTCTAAGACCCTCAATCTAGTTTGATATTATATTATAGGTCTTAACCCTTCGTTACCATGTTCGAAAATATACTTACTTTATATATAAAGTCAAGTAGCCGGCCCGTGGACCCATATTAGTTTTGGAAAATGTCTATCCCTATTCCCCCATGACCACCAGTCACGATTATCACAAACACTTAATAAATCGTTATGTCGTTCTAGGGCTTCACCCTAACGCGTTATTACACTATAGTTGAACCCCGTTCATTTTTTATTGTTTCACCGCGCTAGAGCATTGCTCGTAGTCACACTACTTCATGCTAGAGCTTTGCTCCTAGTCAGACTACATTAATCTAGAGCCTTGCTCATAGTCACATTAAGCTAGAGCCTTGCTCAAAACATGTATCTCTAATGCGATGGGAGACACCATATCTAGGAGAGGAGAAGAGCTTGAGATAGCGGCACTCAGCGTACCAGAGCAAAATAATGATAATTTTTTGAAAGGAATTATACAAGCACTTGCAACCAAACCGGCTAATGTACCAGGCTATGAAGTGATTTGAAGGAGGCTGTTTTTCAAGGGCCTATTAGTGCTGGCTTCAAATTCTAAATGGATTCCTCGCTTGATGCCGAAATTCCATGACACTTCGGCAGGAGGGCACACGGGCGCACACCAGACATACAGGAGAGTAACAATGAACGCATTCTGGAAGGGGATGTTCCACCAAGTACAAGCCTGTGTTGCACAGTGTTTGGTACATCAAAAGGTCAAATATGAGACGATGTCACCGGCTGGACTCTGAAGCCCTTACCTATTCCCAGCTTGATTGTTGGGAAGATATTTCCATGGATTTCATCACTTGCTTTCCCAAGTCGGAGGGGTACCAACTATCTTGGTGGTGGTGGTCCGATTGTCTAAGTATGGGCATTTCATAGCCCTGAAAGCTCCGATCACAGCACGTTCGGTGCTGAAGTTTTCTCTAGAGAGGTAGTTCAATTACACGGCATCTCACGCTCAATTGTTAGTGATTGAGACTCCTTACTTATTTGTGCGTTCTAGGAGGATCAGTTTTCCCTGTTTGGGATACAATTAAAATTTAGCTCAACCTATCACCCGGAGACATATGGACAGATAGAAGCGCTGAATCATGCTTTAGAAACATATATGCGTTGCTTTACTTGTGAGCAGCTGCTGCAGTGGATAAGGTGGCTATCTTGGGCTGATTATTGGTATAATACCGCGGTGCAGAGTGCAACAAGAATCTCACCATTTGAGTTGGTTTATGGCTGGCCACCACCCACCATTCAATAGTTTCTACCAGGAGAGAGCAAAGTGGCAACTGTGGCAGAAGTGTTGGGCAGCATGGATGCTATGTTGATTTGACTGAAGAAAATTTTACATAAGGCACAACAGTGTATGGTAAGTCAAGACAACAAGCATCATCACGAGGTGGATTTCTAGGTTGGAGATGAGGTATTTTGAAGGTCAGACCTTAACGGTAGTCCACTTTATTCCGCCAGCCCTACAATAAGTTATCCGCAAAATTCTCGGGGCCATTTTGTATTGAAGCACGCATTGGGCTGACACGCTATCGCTTGGGCTGACACGCTATCACTTGGGCTGACACGCTATCGCCTTGCTTTACCATCTACTAGGTGCATCCATCCGGTCTTTCATATGTCTCAGCTATGAGAGGTGGTAGGAGATCACCTGGTAGAGAATGAGTTGCCAGAAAGTTTGGAATTGCCGATGGGTCTTGTGTTCGAGCCTGAAGAGATATTGGCCAACATAATGAAAAATGACAGAGAGGAAGAGTTATTAGTCAAGTGGGTCAGGCAGCCTAGTGATGATGCTACTTGGATGAATAGGGAAAGCTTTGTGGGCCAGTTTTCATATTTCAACCTTGGGGATAAGGTTCTTTCATAGTAGGATGAAGTTTATAGAGAGCAGAGAGGGGCGTAGGAAGCAAACCTGAGCCCCAGGCCCTTTTCGGTCTACCTAGGCGGGGACGGGCTTGAGCCCATCCTCGTGGGCTGGTTCTAGTTATTTTAATTATTCTTTTTATTATGTTTCCTATTTTAGTTTGTTTCTTAGTATGGTTTAATTAGAACTTCTATTTTGTTAGAATTAGAGACTTCCTATTCTATTTAGTTTCCTACTATGATTTAATTAGGATTCCTATTATTATTAGACTTAGAGGGTTATTTAAACCCCTAAGAAGGGCTATTGGGGATCATCAATTAATAAGATCAATGTCATCAACATTGATCTCATTTAACTTCATGTAATTGTCAAATCTATCTTATTAATGTATATTATTAAAATATATGCTTTTATAAGTTAAAATAATCCATCATTGTCATCATAAGCAATAATTATTGCTTATTATTTCTTATTTTCTACTCGCTCAAGAAAAGTCGTTGAGTGGGATTAATTTTAAATAAGTCTTGTATTGATGGAAAAACGTTTAGAACTTTTACCACATATTTTTTTTAAGATAAAGTTCACTAACGTATCTCATGATTATTACTATCGATTCATGTGTATCACTTATTCTCACTAAGAT